GCTGGGCCATTTTCGACAGGGGAGGACGTCGGAACAAGCAGAAAGGTGAAGTATGTGCTGATTGGGACGGTCCCGATTTCAATGGGAGCTGGGGACAAGGAGCCTTCAGAAGCGGCCGAGCCGGAGGAGGAGGACCCGAATCCAGCAGATTGGGAGGAGGAGGAGGATCAACCCCGTGCATCAGACGAGGAGGCCAAGAGGCTCAACGACAAGGTTAAGGACGAGATGGCCGACGCTATGAAGGGCGTCGCGGTGCAGAACGTCACGATGGCGGAGGTGATGGAATCCAGGAGCGCCAGAGAGGTCATTAGAGCCATCAGCCTGATCTTTGTGAAGTATCGCAGCCTGGGCATCCCGCTGTACCGCATGCATTGCGATCGGGCGAAGGAGTTCCTGGCAAGGCCGGTGCAGCAGTGGTGTTTGGAGCACAATCTGTTGCTCACAATGACAGCGGGCGATGATCACGCGGCCAATGGACGAGTAGAGACGGAGGTCAACCAGGTGAAGAGAAGGCTGCGAGTGGTCCTCAAGGACTCAGGGGCTCCGGTGAAGCTGTGGCCTACGGCACTACGGCATGTGGTGCTTCAAAGGAACCAGATGCAGCTCCAGAGACTTGGGGTGGACACCTTCCCGATGCTCCCGTTCTACTCCAAGGTGATGGTGAAGACAAAGCGGTGGCATAAGAAGGGCCCCCTGGCCTCTCCATTTCGAGAAGTACGCCTACTGGGTCCTAGTCCAATGATGAGTTGGGGCTGGGTGGTTCAGACAGAAGACGGGGCCATTCAACACACCAGGGCGGCTGTTCTGCCCGACGAGGAGGCCGACCACGCAAGGGACCTGGAGGCGGGAAGAGTAAGGTATGAGTTGGAGATGGAGGAACATTCAGGGAAACCGAGAACGAGGTTGACGGGCAAGCAGAGTCTGGAGCCAGGCCCTAAACTGGGGGGAGACGGAGAAGAAGGGCATCCAGCGGCAGATGGAGAAGGTCTGGCACCCCGGCCTCAAACTCCACCATAGACCATACACTGGTTGCCGGCGTCCGTTCCAAGCCATAGGTCCTCCCCCGATCCTGCCAGGTGAAGCCCGCTAGCCCTTGATCTCGGAACGCTGACCAATCTGCTGGACTGGTGTCCAAGCCATACATGGCTCCTTGAACCAACCACCGCTCCGACGCCTTGACGATCCCAGCCTCCACCAAAACCTTCGGGGGCCTTGTGATGAGGGTTCGCCGGGTCTCCTTCCGGGGCGCCAGCAGGAAGGCACACTTCACATCCACGGTTGCCAAGGACCACTGTTCGTGGGCTCCCTTTCTCAGAACACACCTCAGAGCCGTCCCGTCGATGCCCCCGGCATAGTTCTCGGCCTTGTCAGCCGAGGTCCGCGCCACCTTGCCGTTGCCGTCCGCCAGCAAATTGCCACATATCACTGCCCTCGCCCTCTTTCTTCCTGTCGGGGCCTTGATGGTCGTGACCAGCTTCCCCGGGGCGTACTCGGCGTCTTCAATCCCCGGAACCGCCGCCAGATCGCACTCATCGATGGGCTTGACCACCTCTGTGTTCACCAGAGAGCGATACTCGTCCATCATGGCCTCTCTCCATGCTTCCAGATCCTTCCGCACTTCCTGCAACGGCACCGTGTAGGTTTGCAGAACCTTCGCCGGTTCTTCTCCATCTGCTCCCTGCAGTCCTGCCAGCTTGTGGAAGTCCTTGTTCTCCCGGTCCTGCATGATCACCAGGTCATCCTCCAGCTGGTTGATGCCACCCAGGAGGAACTCCATCGCTGCTCCTTGACCATTCCCTGTGATCTCATCCATGGGGATCACCTTGAGCTCCTCCGCCAGTGCTTCCTTAAAGCCCCACTGGTAGCTGCTCATGAGATTCTTCGTCTCCTCCAGGCTTTCCTCAAAACTCCATAATTTTGATGGAGAGGTGTACTCCCCCCCCGTTCGCAGTTCACGTAGAGCGCAAGGACCCCAAGCCCTGCGGCTACTTGGTGATCTACGTGGATGACTTTTTGGCGGTGGGACCTACTTCCTTGGTGGAGAATGTCATCAAGAGGATCAATCAGGAGTGGGTTTGCAGCGCGCCGGAGTGGGTGAACAAGGCAGGATGGACGAAGTTCTGCGGAATGGAGCTGAAGTGGGACGAGGACGGTGAGACTCTCCGGGTAGCACAACCCTCGTACATCTCGGAGCTGATGCAGCGGCACGAGGTGGTGATGGCTAAACCGGCCCCGTTCTACAAGCCGGAGGTGCCTGAGAACCCGGTGATCACGCAAGATGGCATCCGGGAGGCGCAAGGACTGGTTGGAGAATTGCTATGGGTGTCGGTGCGCACCAGGCCGGATGTGGCATTCGGGGTTTCCTGGATGTCGCAACATGTCACCCGGTGCCCTTTGGAAGTCGTGAAGGCGGGGAAGGACATGATGGCCTACCTTTACGGCACGAAGGACTTGGGACTGGTCTATGGGCGCTGCCTGGGAGACCGAGGAGCAGAAGGAGATCTTCCTTTCGCGAGATCGATGAGGCGGCTGGAAATGTATGCGGACATCTCTTTTGCGCCGCAGGGAGAGAAGAGCCACCAGGGAGTTTTGGGATTCTATGGTGGTGCCCTCGTCCAGTGGGAATCGGGTCTTTTTGCACCCTCAGCACGGCAGAGGCGGAGTTGGTGGGCTACATCGAGGCCATGATCATGGGAGACTCCCTTTGTGCAATCCTGGACATCACCGAGGGAGGATGCTGGAGCGCCAAGGAGGCGGAGAGGGTGATCTACGGGGACAACACGGCGGCCTTGGCCATCGTGCAAAGTCCTTCGGGGCCGTGGCGCACACGGCATTTGCGCCTTCGATCCAACGTGCTGCGTGAACGAGTGCGAGAAGGGGAATGGCAGATCAGACATTTGCCGGGTAGCGGGTTGGTGGCTGACTACCTCACGAAGGCGGTCGCGGCAAGGACACAGTGGCTTCGATTCTACTCCATGGCGGGCATGATCAAGGATGAGTCGGAGGTGGTTTCGCGGCCAGGACCAGGAGAGGCAGACGGTGGTCGGGTCATTGGCAAGGAGGCAGCGGTGAAGGTCGCTGCGATGAGTGGGTTGATGGGCCTCATCGCCTGCTGGAAGCCTCAGGATCGGGGATCATGCCTGATCCGGGACGTCTGCTTGGCCTCCCTTGGAGTGGGTGTAGGATTCGTGCTGAAAGGCCAATGGGCCCAACCCAAGAGGGAAACAAGATCGGCTAGGGAAGATGAACCAGCCGCACGTGAGGACAGCCCAATGAGGGTTGCAAAGATGGTCAGGGAAGATGAACCGACCGCAGTTGAGGACCCCTTTGTGACATCAAGATGGCTAGGGAAAATGAACCAGCCCCGAGGGTTAAACCGGTGGATCTTTACCGCAGGCCATTTTACCACTGGTCTACGGGCTGCCCTGCATCAGTAGGTAAGGGTCAGGTGCCGATTGGGGCACCGGGTGAGCCATGGCCTGAGCCTCCGGGTGGTCCAGATCGTGGGTCACTGGATGAGGAGCCCGAGGACTTTTGGGAGGTGACGTTTGAGCGGGACTTCATCGTGGCGACCCGCATCCACATGCTGAGGAGACACCGGGACTTTCAACCGGATCCCAGGAACATGCCGCCGGGGGTCAACGCTACGATGCTGGAGGGTCGGCGACAGACAAACTTGGTCTTCGTCGACATCAGACGCGGGCGGCGGGTGATCAATGACAACTGGAGGACGGATGTTTTTCGCGAAGCAGATGCCTGGACGGGGTCTACGACGTTTGTGGCTCCTTTGCGGGGCAATGTGGGTTTGAGGGACTTGGGGATCACTTCACTGCCGGGTGAACGTGAACGAAGCCGCAGTCCGAGGGATGACAACAACCCGGATGACGCGGGACCAGCCCGTCCCAGGATTGGGAACACCCACGTCAGGGCCCCCCAGGAGCGAGAAGTTCGACCACGGCTACGAGCTTTGAGGTGGTTGAAGAAGCCATCTTCCGAGGAGAAGATTGAGGAGAAGAAGATTGTGGAGAAGAAGATTGAGGAGGAGAAGAAGTCAGAAGATTCAGAGGAAGAGGCGCATCAGGGTGGACCAGCACTCCCTTGGGAGCTCGACCAGTACAAGGTTCCCCCGATGCTCAAGAACAAGAACAAGGATGAATGGGATTGGTCCCAGCCGGGATGGGCAATCCGCGCACATGGAAAACCTCGGAAGCGCAAGTTCCACCCGATCCACAGGGAGTTCCCGCTGGATGCAGCGGTGTTGGAATCGAGGAGGATCACGGTGAAGCTGCACACGGGCACGTCGCCGGTAGGGATTCGGTCCGTGGTGGAGGACAGCTGGACGGCTCATCAAGAGCGACAGAGGACTTCGCAGATGCAACCATGGCGGGGGTACACCTTCTTCCGGATCAAGATCGGGAAGGAGCGGAATTCTGGCGGAAGATCCACCAGGAATTGTGCGAGGGCTTCAACGAGCGTGGATCCAAGGGCAACTGGGTCTGGTGGCGGCGAGGTTCACCATGGCTATGCTCGAGGCGGCTCGGAGAAGCGGGGTAAGGACGCGGGGCCGGTCTTGACGTTCCCGGAGACGGAGACTTTTGAAGACCGTAGGCCCCGAGGAGTTTTTCGAGACGAGGAATCCGATAAGAGGGCCTCGTCCTCGGACTCATCCAATTGGGATGTGGTCTGATGTGGCGAATGCCACAGGGGGAGTGTGAAGAGAGCACTCAAATTTCGTGAGCATGGACGACCAACTGCAACGTTGGCTCAAGACGCATCGGAAAAGGGTGCGCGCTAGTTTTTACCCCAACATAACCGTAAAATCAAACGGGTGTCCCTAAGGTAAAGACAAAAAGGCGACCCAAGACCGTGGGTTTCCTTTTGGTTTCACCGCGGGTTCTCCCCAAAAGTTTTGGTTTCACCGTGGGTTTCCCAAAAAGTCTTGGTTTCACCAAACGGGTTCTCGCCAAAAAAGGGCTTCCGCACGGCTCTCTGGTCTCTAGGAGAGCGAGGGCATCCTGGTGTGCCACGGTTGCGACCGCGGCTGGGTGCTGCGCCTCGGTTCCGTGACGTGAATTGCATTGCCGCGAACGGAGACCCGGGGGAGGTGGGCGCATGTTCAGATCCAGGGAGTCCTGTTGGAGACCAACCCTTTTGGCCATCTGTTGAGGAGACCTCTTTTGGGTTTTTTTAGTAAGGCCGAAGGGGGACCGTGAATTAGGGCGAGCTGGTTGAAAGGGAGCCGCTACGCCGGTGGATGTGCAAAAACCGGTCGCACAAAATGAAGCCATGCTTGAAACCATAAGGCTTGTTGGTATTCGCGGAGTCATCAGAAACCAGGGTTGGGTGCAGGATTTTGTCCATCCACAGTAACTGGTGGAAGGGAGCCGTTATGGGAGTTGGTGTCCAAGTGTGCTTTACTGGGAACCTTTTGGAGCCTTTCCCAAAATGGAGTTCTGGAAGGACAGGGTAGTTTCTGGGGTTCAGTTAACACCATTAAAAGAATGGGGGGTTACTATAACCTCCACTATGTACTCCTAAGGATTGTCATCATCCAAATTGGGTTCTTGCCATTCTTTTAATGGGGGTTTAACCCTAGGGTTCTCGTTGGGTTAAACCCCAGTGGTTGTTTTTGTACCCTTTGAGGATGGTTTCTTTTTTTTGGTACCGAGGGTAGGGCAAACAACGGAAGCAAATCTGTCTATTTCCTCCCCCCCCAAAAAAAACATTAAACAATATATATATATATATAATTAGAGATTTGTATTAATTATTATGTAATTTATTCTATATTTCGAAAATTTGTAAAATATCTATTCAATAATATAATATCATACTATATATATATAATATCTATTTTCTGACACAAGGTGCATTAAGGTGCTGTTTGAACTGGCGGTAGTCTTCCAAAACCCTCCCTGTCAGCTTCTACGCTTGAGGAGATGGGACGTGTTACTAAACTCAAAGTTACTTGCAAGTATGCATACTTCGGAACACATCACTATGAATCCGAGTGATTTCATTCACCTGTAGGCGTGTGTCTTTCTTTGACGGTACCCCTTTGTTTGGTGGCTTTAGAGGGAAACCAACGGAAGACAACCTTTGTTGGGGTACCCCTATCTTGAGACAGGCCCATAACAGCAAACCTAGCTGTGGGCTCCATTGAGATCAGCTCCAGCGTTTCAAGAGGAAAACAGGGAGATTCCCGCGAGCCGAGGGCTCGAAGGGGTCCCTAGAGTTGCCCGGTGTATTCCGTTCGTCTTTTTGGCGAGGAAGGCTCCCATTAAAACTCGACCAACAAAGAAAGCCCTTTTTTCCCCATGATCTCAATCAAGCCGCGGCAACCTTTGGGAAGCCCGGGAAATCCTCCTCGGTGACCGGGTTTGATTTTTCAGGCACAACATTGCGGCCTTTCTGACCACGGACAAGCTGGTGGACTTTGGCTCGGAGAGCCTCTGCTGTCGCTTTCGGAATCCATTGAGAGATCACGGAACTATGGTTGTTGGGAATCATCTGACATGTTTGCTTATTGTGGCTTAGTGGTTGACATCCCTGCTTAACTGCTGTTTGTTTTTTAATTCCCCCCAGATAGCTGAAAGCTATAGGGGTTCTAACTTCTAATAAAGAAGGAAAAGTGATTTGCGAGATTGAGGGCCGGGTGCTAGGGGGCATGCAGTTTGGGGTGCTGGTGGAGGTGCTGCTTTGCGAGCTTGACGGCCGGGTGCCAGGGGGCATGCAGCTTGGGGTGCTAGTAGTGGAGGTGCTGTTTTGCGAGAGTGATGGTCGGGTGCTAGGGGGCATGCAGTTTGGGGTGTTGGTGGAGGTGCTGTTTTGCGAGAGTGATGGCCGGGTGCTAAAGGGCATGCTGCTAGTGGAGGTGCTGTTTTGCGAGAGTGATGGCCGGGTGCTAGGGGGCAGGCAGTTTGGGGTGTTGGTGGAGGTGCTGTTTTGCATGGCCGGGTGCTAGGGGGCATGCAGTTTGGGGTGCTAGTGGAGGTGCTGTTCTGCGACAGTGATGGTGGAGGTGCTGATTGACGGCTGGGTGCCAGGTGTGACGTGCTGGTGAAGGTGATTTGCGAGATTGACGGCCGAGCGCTACGGGGCATGCAGTGGGTGCTGGTGGAGGTGTTGCTTTGCGAGAGTGATGGCCGGGTGCTAGGGGGCATGCAGTTTGGGGTGCTAGTGGAGGTGCTGTTTTGCGAGAGTTGGCCGGGCGCTAAAGGCATTCAGTTTGGGGTGTTGGTGAAGGTGCTGTTTTGCGAGAGTGTTTGCCTGTTTTGCGACAGTGATGACCGGGTGCTAGGGGGCATGCAGTTTCGGGTGTTGGTGGAGGTGCTGTTTTGCGAGGTTGACGGGCGGGTGCCAGATGTAGTTTGGGGTGCTGGTGCTGTTTTGCGAGCTTGACGCAGTTTGGGGTGGTGGTGCAACTGCTGTGTTGGGTTGCCGGGGTTCTAACTTCTAATGAAGAAGTGGGATTGTTTTGCAAGATCGACGGTTGGGAGCTAGGGGGCATGCACTTTGGGGTGCTGGCGCAGGTACAGTTTTGAGGTGCTGTTCGGGCTGGTGACAGTACGTGACGGCAAGGTGCTTGGTGCTCGGGGACCTGTCCAATGCTGGTGTGGGTGCTGCGTTGGGGTGCTGTTGGGGCTGCTGTCTTGAGGTGTTGGTGACGGTGTGGGCGCATATGATGGACTGCAGGGTGCTAGGGCGGGTGCTGTTTCATGATGCCGTTGAACCGGTTCGGACGTTGTTGCTGCTTAGTAGTGTAGTGTAACAGTCGTTTGTCATGGTGCGTGGTTCGTGGCTGGTGTGTCATCATGATGTTGTCACCCGCGTCATGATGCTGCTGTCACTGCGATGCTGCGATGCTGCGTTATGGTTCGTGGGCGTGGTGGCGCCATGATTGCTGCCAACATCAGGATGATGCTGAATTTCACTACGCTGTCGCGAGAAGATTCGTGGCTGTGGTATCATCATGCTGCCTTTTCAATTTTACCATTACCATGATGCTGTTCGCATCACCATGATGCTGTCCGCATCATGGTGGTGCTGTCCGCATGATCGTGATGCTGTCCGCATCATCATGATGCTGTCGAACTCATCAGGACGTCGTCTCTGCCTTTTTTCTGCTAGATATGTGGCGCGGAATCGTTTGTTGCTGGTGCATCAGCATGATGCTGTCAACATCATCATTTTTGCTGCTGAACTCATTAGGACGCTGTCTTCGTGTCTATTTAGCGCACATGCTGAGTGGCTGTGCATGATGCTGTCAACATCATCATGATGCCTCGGGAACCATTATGATGCTGCATAATGGTTCGTAGCCGTGATGCGCTATCTGGGGTCTACGCTGGTGTATTATATATATATATATATATATTGTTGCTCCCCTTCCAACGTCAACCAAGGATCCAGCTCACGCCTCTTTGTGCATTTCCATGGGATGTTCCCAGCATTTGCTGAGTCTTACTTGAGTTACATCCGCGTGAAAACTCGCTCTGCAAACGTAAAAAGGCATGTGGATGAGTTGTTCAACTCATGTGATGAACTCAGAGGCAACAATAGGCAGCCAAACCAGAACGTGTGGCAGGGTGTCAACTGGACCAACTCAGTGGCCCCCTTCTCCCAGGTTGCACCTTCTCCTTAGCTGTCCTTTGCTTGTTTAAAAATAGGTTTGGCGATTCCTGGTTGACCTGCTTCAATCGAAGGCCAACTGCTTTCCAAACAGGACACCTATGCTTCTCGGTGTTGCTCCTCGTTTTTTTGGTACAATCAGCGACAAGATGCACCATTGTTTGTGCCTTTGAAATCCATATCCCCCATTTGGAATGTTTTGGCTGGGTTTTCCTTTCAACTTTAATTCAACCCTGAAGGTCCTCACCTTAAGATTCCACCACTTCTGATGCTTGGGCCATAAATCGGAAATCAGATGCGTGTGAAACTATAAACCTTTTCCAGTGGGAATCTGTTCCTTTCCGTAAAAGCCCTCCAGGTGGTTCATCCCATGCTGGTCCAAAAACGGGTGACCCCAAACTCGGTTGCCCTAAGTGGAAAGGACTACCTGCGGTCCATATGGGTCTGGGTCAAAGCTTAGATACCCTTTTTTGGGGCAACCCCCCGTTTTTAATAGGTAATGTGGGGGTAAGCGTGGGGGGGGGGGTAGCGGGGTGTTGACCCACATCCATCCCATGGCCCATCAAACTGGGTTGCCCCTAAGTGGGTCCACATGGGCGTGTCTGTTCCCCACATCTTTGTGTGGGGTTCTTACTTTTTCCGCTCGTCGTCCGCGCGCCGCGTCTCCTCCTCCTCCTCCTCCCGCTCGTCTCCGTCTCACTCACTCACTCACTCACTCACTCTCACTCACTCAACTCACACTCACTCAACTCACACTCACTCACTCACACTCGCTCACTCACTCACACACACTCACTCACACACACTCACACACTCACACTCACTCACACTCACTCACTCACACTCACTCACACTCACTCACTCACTCACTCACACTCACTCACTCACTCACTCACTCACTCACTCACACACACTCACTCACTCACACTCACTAGAGGGACAGGATGTTGTCGCGCGCGCGGCGGGGGGCGTGCGAAATCGTGGCAGGCGCAGCACTTTGGCGATGCCGTTGCGAAATCGTGGCAGGCGCAGCACTTTGGCGATGCCGTTGCCGAAGTCGTGGCAGGCGCAGCATTCTGTGCATCTGGGTGTGTGTTTGTGTGGCAGGGGTCGCATTCGGCAGCTGTCTAGAGGGACAGGATGTTGTCGCGCGCGCGGCGGGGGGCGTGCGAAATCGTGGCAGGCGCAGCACTTTGGCGATGCCGTTGCGAAATCGTGGCAGGCGCAGCACTTTGGCGATGCCGTTGCCGAAGTCGTGGCAGGCGCAGCATTCTGTGCATCTGGGTGTGTGTTTGTGTGGCAGGGGTCGCATTCGGCAGCTGTCTAGAGGGACAGGATGTTGTCGCGCGCGCGGCGGGGGGCGTGCGAAATCGTGGCAGGCGCAGCACTTTGGCGATGCCGTTGCGAAATCGTGGCAGGCGCAGCACTTTGGCGATGCCGTTGCCGAAGTCGTGGCAGGCGCAGCATTCTGTGCATCTGGGTGTGTGTTTGTGTGGCAGGGGTCGCATTCGGCAGCTGTCTAGAGGGACAGGATGTTGTCGCGCGCGCGGCGGGGGGTGTGCGAAATCGTGGCAGGGCGCAGCAGGCGCAGCACTTTGGCGATGCCGTTGCCGAAGTCGTGGCAGGCGCAGCATTCTGTGCATCTGGGTGTGTGTTTGTGTGGCAGGGGTCGCATTCGGCAGCTGTCTAGAGGGACAGGATGTTGTCGCGCGCGCGGCGGGGGGCGTGCGAAATCGTGGCAGGCGCAGCACTTTGGCGATGCCGTTGCGAAATCGTGGCAGGCGCAGCACTTTGGCGATGCCGTTGCCGAAGTCGTGGCAGGCGCAGCATTCTGTGCATCTGGGTGTGTGTTTGTGTGGCAGGGGTCGCATTCGGCAGCTGTCTAGAGGGACAGGATGTTGTCGCGCGCGCGGCGGGGGGCGTTGGTGGCAGGCGCAGCACTTTGGCGATGCCGTTGCGAAAGCTGGCGGCGCAGCTCGGATTGCGTCCGCAAGTTTACCGCCTTGTTCAGTGTCAGTGTCATTACGCAGCTGGCGAAAAACAGACGCGACGCGTCCGCACGAAGCATTGCTGCCGGGACTGACAGTCAGTGTGGCATGAGCTGCGCCCGAGCCAAGGTCAGCGCAGCAAGAAAGGTACAAAAAGGTTCGCGCAGTTGTTTGCGGGATGAGGTGACAGAACGCATGCTAGTTGTCTCCGCGATGTTCATGAGCCCTGCCACAAGCTTGCAGCACAACCACTTGCGCACGGTACATGTGTGTGGACATTTGAACTCACATCCTTGGGAAAAACATAGCATGTGGGGTTATCCGGTCCTTTAATTTCTGAGGGTACCTTGTTTTTTGGGTAAAAAGGGAGACCGAAAGGAAACCCACCATTTTGGGGCTACCTTTAAAGGGAGACCGAAAGTACCCTATTTTAAGACAAGCCTATATCCTGGCTTAAACAAAAGGGCCCATGAGACAATTCCGAGGAGTGGAGTGCTGGCCTGCACCCGGCCTTTTCGGGATGGGAGCTGGGAGTGCGGCCAGTTCAGCCCCTCTGGCAAGCGGTCCAGCCGGTCGAGCCGGACCTTTTTTTTTCCGGTGGGCAAAACGGGTTCCCCCCCCAAAAAAAAAACAAAAACACATGCGGCGCTCGATTGGCCATAGGTGGTTCTACCAGGTTCATGAAGTTTGGTTTAGGGCAATGCAGAAGCCTTTTTGGGCATCCTGGTAGAAACAAGAGTCAATTGATGTTGGGCGTTTGCCCAAACAAACAACACTACTTAGGCCAAAGAGAAAGCCAGAAAGGCCAGTGGTGTTTTTGGATGACGTTCTGGAGGCTGTTCTTTTCCTCTTGGTTTTCCCCTTAAACCAGGCGGAAAGCTAGTACCGAGCAAATGGGTGGTTTCTTTTGAAAGGTGAGTGTCCCTCGGTGTGATGTTTTAAGGGGGAATATCGGGAGCCCTGAGAAACCCACCAAGTTGGGGCCCAAGCCTCAGGCCTGCAAATCGTTTTGTTCAGCGGCTGGGGTGCGTGTTTTTTGGAGGCTGGGCACGATGCGACGTTTTTGTTGTCTAGGCCTGGCGATTCCCAGCCGTCACCTTGGGTTTTGAGGTGTTGCCTGTTGGGTTTAGGGGGGGGGTTCCGTATTTATCCCAGTGGTTAAACTTTAGCAGGGGCTCTGAGGACAGCCCAAAGGGACAAACACACATTTTATGCAAGGAAGGAACCCATCAAGAATAAAGAACAGCCAGGTTTCGGACTAGTCCAACCAAGTAGGTGTTGTTAAAGATAGACGGCACTGGTTGCAGGTGGGCTCTATGCATTTGCTTTTGCGCAGAAATGACGTGTGTGCCAACAATTTGCACCCTGGGATATGCCAAGTGAATCGCTTCCAGTTCTTTTCCGCTGTGCTGGGAAACCAGGTCTTATTTGTAGAACTTAAAGAGTGGTAACTAAGGAACCGTCCTCGAATGCCATGGGCAAGAAAGGCCCAAAATACCATTCGTAGTACCGCCCCCCCAGCTGAACTGCCTTTTGCTTTTGGCTTTGACCCCAATCAAGATCCCCAGTGGTTGGGACTGGTTAAAACAGGTGCTCGTCCAAAAAGCAGTCGGGACGCGCTGGGACATCTGCCAGTCTCATCCATGGAAGGGAACTCCATCCGAGGCAAAGCCCAGCTCCAGAAGCTGTTGCTGCTGAAGCGCCCGGGCGCGAGTTTAGGTTTCCCAGTTGCGCAGAGGTGCACTTCTTTCCCTTTTTTTGGGGAGGGGTTTCCCTTTGAAGTCAACCACCAAAACGGATGCCCTTGTTTTTTCCAATGGAAATACACTGGGCATCTGAGGTTTCGCAGCCTTGGGCTGGGTTCGGGGGAGCGAATTTGGGTTGCGTCTTGTTTTGGGGAGCCCCTTTTGGGTTGGTTCTGGTTTTTCGTTGGAGCCTCGGATGCGCGGTTCAGCGGATGAGGTGCGGAAAATGCAGCCTTTTCTATGGCTGGGTTATGAGGGCCTTTGTGAATATGAACCAGTTTTCTTTTTTTGGGGGGAGGGGGGGTGGCAAGGATCCGTTTTTTTTTTTGGGGGGGGGGATATGAACCTGTCCTCTTCTAAAAAAAAACTAAAAAAAAACTGGGGTGGCTTGGTTACCAGTTGAGCAGCTACTGATGTTCCTCTATTGTCTGGGCCGACATGGGCGGCCCTCTCAATGTCCCAAGTCTGCTTGGTGAGGGGAGACCTTTTGTAATTATGTTCAGCATCCACTTACATACTCGCCATTTCCACTTGGCTCTCCCAACTTGCACATTGGCTCTTTTTTTTCTCCAACTGACAGCAAAGTGTTTTGCTTTACTTCCCTGGAGGCAATTTCCGGCCTCCATCCTTCGCGTTCCCAATTACAGTGGGTTCCCAAAAGGGTTGATGGAGTGGCGCTTTGCCACCCTTCGAATTTGTCTGCGGCAACATGTGTTCTTCCCTACCAATCTTGACTGCTATTGGGTTGGATCTTTAGACTAACTTTTTGTTGAAATCAAGTTGGGTTTTCGACTAAACCCCCCAAAAAGTTAGGCTTTTGCAGGGGGGTCAACAGTAAACAAGCAAAAGTGAAAGATGAACTTAACAACCATGAATCGGACCTCTTCCTTGATGAACCAGCATGGACCTTTGTTCTCAAAGTTGTTTCCCGCACACAAAAACTACCCATCATCAACAAATTGCGGAGAACGTGTTGGAGGGTTCCATCCAATCTAAATTGAACCAGTTGGAAGAGGAAACAGTTGGAGGTGTCCATTTGAACCCATCCAAGCAGATTCCTTTGAACATGTTGGGTCCACCAAACCTGCCCACCTACCCAGACACGCACACACACACATACACATACACATACACATACACACACACACAGGAACATCAACCTTTTGGAGGTTTTGAACCATCCAAGCAGATTCCTTTGACTATGTTGGTTCCAGGAAGATCAAGTTTGAACCCCTGCAGGGGGATTCCTTTCAACCAGTCTCCACCAAACCTGGTCACTTACCCAGACACACACACACAGACACAGACACAGACACAGACACAGACACTGACACAGACACAGACACACAGACACACAGACACACAGACACACAGACACACAGACACACAGACACACAGACACACAGACACACAGACACAGACACAGACACACACAGACACACACACACACACACACACACACACACAGACACACACACACAGACACACACACACACACAGACACACACACACACACACACACACACACACACACACACACACACACACACACACACACACACACACACACACACACACACACACACACACACACACACACACACACACACACACACACACACACACACACACACACACACACACACACACACACACACACACACACACACACACACACACACACACACACACACACACACACACACACACACACACACACACACACACACACACACACACACACACACACACACACGCAGGAAGATCCAATGTAGCCATCCACTTTGCCAGGTGCGACAAGGTGTGCATGGGCTCCTGCAGCGAGGAGGAGTTCGTTCACGTGAAGCCTCTCGGCCTAGCGGTTTGCAAGCAGTTCGTCGGTGCGAAAAGAAACCAAGGAGATTTGGGGCCAAATGGTTCTGGCTGTTTTGCCGCCCTTGCACTTTCCCCTGTGTATGTATTTATATATATATATATATTATATATATGTATTTATACACATCTTTTCTCATGAACAACATGTCTGGTTTCCTGTTGGTTTCCCTTTAAAGCCACCAACAAAGGGGCACCCTCAAGAAACTCAAAAAAAAACAGACACAGTCACCATCTGATTTGTTTTTTGGGGGTTGACTCCTTGAAAATCTTCACCGAAAACGGGTCCCCAAGCCTCAAGCGGTTCCCAATTTTTTGCCGGATTCAGGCAGCGCATCGCGGCCTGCTTCCCCCACGTGCCGCCGCAGGAGGCCCGGATCTGCCGGGGAATTGAGAAGTGGATGGAGTTGGGGTCCGAGAAAAGAAATCCAACTGGCCGGTTGCCTTTAATTCAGGGAATCCCCTTGGGCTTCATTGGGAAAGTTCTGGATGTTGGCCACGCATTCCAACAGGACAGCCAAAGATTGGAGCAACCATGCTGTATGTAAAGTGCCCCAAAATGCTGATGCTCGTGAGTCATTCCCACATCCCCTGAGCACCAGCAAGTCTTCCCATTTTTGGTTTTGCATCCCAGTACAGAGCGGATCTATCCCAGAACGGGTCCACTTTTTGCAGGGTTGGGCCGCTGATGCATGCTCAGCTTGTCCAAAGCCGGGCTGCATGCAAATCCTTTCGCGCAAGCAGCTCAAGTGAAACTGACCCCCCAAGACAAAACTGCTGTCCTTCTTCCTGATCTGTTTCAGATATTCAGCTTTCCAGTTGCGGTTTGGAGCCCGATTTGGAGTTTACGGCTTAGCCGTTTCCCATTTAATTTAAAGTATAAGCAGGGCTTGTCCCCAAATCCAAACCTCGTGAAACCAACTAAAATTCATCCGGGCAAGAAGCGGTCAACCGGAGCATTTCCCGGGCATGTCCCCGGTGGTTTTGCGAGCCACGAGATTTGTTTTGAGTGTTTTTAGGTGCGACGAAAAGCCGATGTGTTGATCAGTTGGGCTGATGAAACTGCGGAGTTTGCAGTTTGTCGGCCCTTAGGTCCTCCGCGTTTTTTCCGAGTTGAACATGGTCCATGGCGGAGATTGCCGTTCCTTAGCTCTAGGTCCTCGCGTTTTGCGAATTCTTGTACCGTCGATGCATAGATGGCATACGGATCCAAATCATCAATTCGAGCTTGGAACTGCAAGACTCCAGAGGCTTGGAAGTTGAGGATCATTGACTAAACATGGCCATCCAGCTGGGTAAGTGAAGGGTAGCTTAAGGGAAAGTCAGGTGCCCTTTTCATTTGCGGGAGTTTAGACAGCCTCCTTTAGTACCAAGTCTTGATTGTGACTACATGTAATTACAGGTTCTGTGTTGGTGATTGTCACTCGAACCACTTCCTGTGTTCAGGGAACATTTCTGATAATATCCATTAGTCCCCCCTCACTTTCGAGCCTATGTCTTCTTTATGGGTGCCTGAACCAGGCCGTTAGAGGCCCCGCCAACTTAGTCTAGGCATTGGTTCGGTACCTCGAACATGGGTCAAGAGGCATGAGAGATTCTTCCGGAGCCCACCCAGTTCCTTTTTTGAGGATGTCATCAGGTAACTAAAAAAATGTGGTTTGGAGTGGTGGGAACTGGGGGTTTGAACCCCAGAAAGGGGAAACTCTCCCCAACCTCCAAACCATCAACTAGATCCCCCAGTAGTGCCCTTCTCTCCCCTTTTTTGGTTGGGAGGCTTCCCCTACTAAAATAGGCATCCTGAAAGAAGTTGGTACCCTTGTTCTAACCTCTCCACTGGAGGACCTAGAGGGGAAACTATCCCCAAACCTCCAAACCATCAAACCATCAAGCCAAAACTATCAAGCCACCAAACCGGGCTCAGGCGGCCGCGCTCTTTGAGGAGAGCCTGCGGCGCTTCGCCACCGGCCCGCTGCTGCGGGGCGCTTCTCGCTCGAGGGGGCCCCCGAAAACGCTTCGGGGCAGAGAACGGATCTGCAGAAATTTCAGCGCCTCACAAAAACATGGTTGGTCAACAAGCGGAGGCTGAAGCTTGCTGGATGGGTTTGAGTGGCACCCTGCTTCCATGGTTGCTGTTGGGAAACGTTCTTTTTTGTTTTTTGCTTGTTGTGGTTTAGTGGTTGAAATCCCCCACTTAACTGCCAAAAATACTTTTTGCTCCCCTTCCAACGTCAACCAAGAATAGACTGGTAAAAGCCTTGAGTAGGTAAATCATGGTGGTTATATCAACCCTCGTTTTAATGGTTTGGACCGCAGGGGTAATTATTTCTATGAGGGGTTTGCTAAGCTCTGGATCTACGGATTGAGAGCCGCCCCCCAAGCAAACACATTCAGAAGGTTTACTCCTTAGACTGCCACCAAATGAGTCTACTACTATATTTTGGAGGGTGGTATCACGTATCAAACCGTGACGGAGGCGCTTCATGAGAGGAAACATTTTACATTTTTGCTGATTGTGGTTTAGTGGGAATTCCCCACTTAACTGCTAAAAATTAAATTTGTTGCTCCCCTTCCAACGTCAACCAAGTATAGGTGTCGTTTTGGGTATTCCAAAAGGGGTACTTGGATTTTCGATTCGCGCTGGTAAGTGGTTAGCTTCCTTGGTCACTCACAAATGACTGCGGTAACCGCACAAGTGGGTTATGACCTAGACTACCACCGACTTGATAACTTGGCCGAACACTCAAGTACCTACTTGGATGTTCGATTCGCCAAGTTGGAAAGTGGTTTGCCAACCCGCAAATAGCGGGTTAATTCCACTTGGGACTGTTGAGCGAGTTACAACCTAGGACCTAGGTTAGCAACAACTTTCTAAGTTGGCCGAACACCCAAGTATCAATGCACAATCTCAATGTGGTTTCGTTGGCTTTCCAAATGCATTGAACGATGTTGCCTGTTGATACAACACGGCCTCCGAGGTTTGATCACGGGGTTACTTAGCTCATGGTATGACTCCTTACACCGGGGGGTGGTCCAATTTGTGAGTAGTCATTTTGCTAGTTCTCAGAAGGGAATCTATACACTTTTTCTTGGGGTTTCCTCTAAGGGAACGGGTTCATTCCCAACACCCGGAAGATCATTCCCTACCTATCGCAGCAGCAAGTCGTTTCTCCTGAGTCATTGGTACCTTACGCCGAAATACTCTTGCACTGTTTGATATCGGCCGATCAAAGTTTTCTTGGCTTGTACCCCAAGATGACTGGAAATCAGACCAGCCAAAAGTGGGAGATAAAGAGTGATCCCCCCGCAAAAAGGGTTTACACTCTTCCAGAGGGCCCCTTGATTTTAGGTTTGAACTTTTGCTTTTCGGAAACATGACTCTTGCCCAAAGGATCCCGCTCCAAACGGGGGGGGGTTCGCTTTGGCTCGCCCATCCCTCCAGGCCCATTTTGGAAACCCCGCGCCGCATCTCCAGTTGCAGCGCCCAAAACCATGCCTACATCACGATGAGCTTCAAATATCTTCAAATATCTTCAAATATCTTCAAACAAAAATCAACACAAGTAGTTGGCATGGATTCTGAAATGTCCGCCAAAGGCGCCCCCATTAAAAATTAACCCCACATAACTTGGCTGTCCCCCCCTTGAATGGGGGTGTCCATTAATCCCATTGTTTATTTTTGTTGGGGGAATCTGAGGATAGCCCAGTGAAGGGAAAACCGCATACTTTATCAACGCAAGGAACCCATCTCGGTTAGAACAGCCAAGTTTCTGACCAGCCCAACACGTAGGAGGGCCTTCGGCCTTAGGCTTACTTCCTGCGTTCCTGGACTTTCCCTGGAGTCTCCATGACCCTTTACAAATAGGTCCATGACCTCCTGATTTGGGGTAAAATGACCCCATTTTTTACGGGTCATGGAGACTCTAGATAATCACTTTTGGGGAAGACCATTTTGGTGGATAAGAGTTCGGTGACTTTTTCGGGCCCATCTCGCTCGGAAGTGAGGTGTTTCTTAGATACCCACATAAGTCTTCCAACCCTGTCCGAAGAAAACTTGCTGGTGCTCAGCAGGGAATGAGACTTGGAATGAGCCCTATAAACCATCCAACTGGTGGTTTTCTTTAAGGGGACCCCCAGGTTCTTTCCCTCATTCCCTACTTGTATGTTCGGCCAGGTTAGTGGTTAGCCTGGGTCATAACCCACTAATGACGGGGTTAACCCCACAAGTGGGTTAGAACCGAACGGCTACCACCAACTTAATAGCGCGAATCGAACAAGCCCCAAGTAGACGATGTCACCCAGTGAAACTGAGGAATGTGCCGAGCCGGCGTGTGGATTGGCCCATTCACGCCTCATCGAGTCACTCCCAACCAACGGCGTAAGAATCGCTGAGGGAAACCGATTCATATGCCGGAATTCTAAATTGTACGAATAGAATCGATAAACGTTAATCAGAAAGTTGTACAATCGTTAAATTGACAAAGTTGTTCAATCGATTCAAACAGAGAGCGTTTGGTTTTTTAGTCTTGAGATTGTGTTTCTTTCTTTCGAATCGACCGTAGAATTTACTAAGTTTCCTAATTTAGTAAACTTAGTAAATCCTATGGTCGATTCGTAAGAGAAAAACCGATCGCAAGACCAAAAAAGGTGCTCTCTCTCAGGCCGCAAGCCACGGGGACCGGGTCTTCATCCGCAAGGTCTGTGCAGCGCCAGGCCAGCAACACCAACGCCTCCTCTTTTTTTTTTCCATTTTTTCCCGTTTTTTGGGGGGTCGCACAAAAAACGTCGTGTTTTGTTGGCCCCGTTCACGAATAGGGGTTGTTGTTTGTCTCCTAAAAAGAAGAAGAAAAAGAAGTGTTTGTTTGTTTTTTGGAATTTCATGTTGACCCGTTTATTCATAGGGTGTCCATTTCTGGGTTGAGTTGGGAATCAAACCACGTTTAGAGGGGAACAGTTTAGGGCAGAGAGAGTATGACGCATGGCATGGGGGTTGATCAAAAGGCCCGGTATGCATGGGGGTTGATCAAATGGCGCTTTGTATAGGCAAACTATGAGACATGGTTGGTGAAACGGTCCGGTAAACATGGAGCGATGATAATTATAGGGAAGCCACCAGAACAAAGGACTTGAACCACATGGAAAATGTTACCCATGGTCATGTTGGGGCCGAAGGAGTATTGATCAACCCCATGGTCTGAAAACCAAGGGCCCTTGCTACGTACCTCAGATGCGCCAAAATGACTGTTACATTTTGGGGTACACGAAATACCCAAGCAGCGAGTGGTTGCTTTCCTTTTTCAATTTTATTGGAGGGACTGGACCCATTTATATAAAGTCGACCGAAACAAGACTGGGCTATGGGCTGAACATATATTTCCTTGTTACGCCAGACGGGCCAAGAAATAAAGCCTTCCATGGGTGCACCGAGCTTTTTTTCTAGAAGACTCGGTTGGCAAAAGAAGCCGGTGCACCAAGCCATCGTTTCTTGGAATGAGGGATGGTGTGGTTGGCTTCTCGAAAGGGCGTCACACTTTGGCCCACCTCGCGGCCGTTTTTTTCGGCTGACTGCGGTTTCTCTCAAGCCCACTCGCTTCTCTCTCAGACCAACATGGAAGCTGACGGGAGGGGGTTGGAAAACTACTTTCCTTTTGGGCAACCCCTCATTCCACTTCCATGTTTGTTGGTGGGAGGGTAGATGCAACACAACAAAGGATGGGGTGTGCTTTGAACAAGTCGTGCAAGCATAGGTTGTTGGACCAATTTAAATTGGGAATCTCTAAATTGGGAAGCGGGGAATTGGGTAGACTCCGCGTAGGCCTCACTTTACTACACTTTACTTTGCTTCTGATTGGTGCTATTTGGCTGGATCTTCAGAGAAATGTGTGTGTGTGTGTGTGCGCGTTTCCCACTAGTCAGCAAAACGTTGAAGCAACTGTTGAGGGGGCAAACACCACATCGGTAAACGAAACATCAAACAGGATCTGATATCGCGTCTTCTTAGGAACCCACCCAAAATGATGGTTGTCATGTAGGTGTTCCTTTCAAACCAATCAAAATAGGGGGTCTTTTTCCCACAAAATGACAGCCCCATGTTCTATGGACGCGTGGCCAAGCCTTGAGTTTCCGGAGACAAACACATCCTGTCCCTTTAAACCAACCAAAAAGGGGGTCCCCCTAGAAAAAAGAACAGCCCCATTTTCTACAGACAAGTGTGGTGGGGCCTTGAGCTCCGGAGACAAACACGAATCAGGTTTACACAACTTTACTTGGCTGCTAGGTGGTGCTATTTCGCTGGATCTTCAGGGAAAATCACCACATCGCTAAACCAAACATCAAACACGAATCCAGTAAAGAGCAGCCCCATTTTCTACAGACAGGTGGGGCCTTGAGCTTAAAACACATCCGGTTGCCTTGAGAGGCATGTTGATCACCAACAAGAGCAACCGCGGCAGCCTGGGGGAGATGCCGGTGCACCTGGCCGCCGCCCTTTGGCTCCGGAGCGCGAAGGGGGCTGTGGCCTTGTTGTTCCCCGGTTTGTTGTTCTTATGGTTGTTCCCGATTTTGAAGAGCATGACTTGGTTTCTCGGGTATGTGTATATATAGCTTTCTTGCGGTGGTCTGGACTCGTGATGTTTGCGGGTTTGGAACCATGGTTCTTGCAGAGGCTGCATGGGTTTGAAACCACTCCCTAGGCTCTCAAACCACAGGGCTCCCCCGTTTCTCCCACGCGGCGATGAGGGGGGTTTCCGAGCCACACACGGAGGCACACGGAGAGCGTTTTTGTTTGTTTGTTTTAATGAAACATCAGTTTGAACATCCTTTCTTTGGCAAGGTTCCTTGAAGAAAACCAGGCAGAAAGCCGTCTGTTCGGAATTGATCAGTGAACGCCAATAGCACGTCGGCCCCCTTCCTTTGGCTCTTTGGCAAAGCTACACGTAGCCACACACCCAGTTTCTGGAGCACTGGAGATGTCTACTTGCCATCAAGGCGTTTTTTTTTGTTCAAGAGGTGTTGCGCTGGTTCCCATGAGTAAACTATCCCTTAGTTGGTGGTTTGGATTGGTGGGAGGCGATTTGAACCCTTGGTTCTTGTAGGGGTAAATGAGAAGCCCCTCCTGAACCACCGAACCACCAATCCGAACCAGCAATTAGGGGGAAGCTTAATCATCATAAAATTCCAAAGTTGCTTGCTGGTTGCCTGCTGGTTTTGACCGGCGGTGTCGAGTCAAAGCACTTTGGCTCTTTGGGCTGATCTTTGACAAGCATGATAGGGCCCCTCGGGCCACAGAAACGAGATGTCCATGACAATACCCTTGCCCAAGGCCTGACCTTTTGGTTCTCCTTGTTGGTCCATTTTTTGTCATGGCCTGAAAAGGATAACCTTTTTCTTTGGGCTCCTTTGGGCAAGTGAGAGCAAGCTCAAGAATTATCGTTCCTTCTTTTGACTCCATACCTAACGGGTTTCTTCAGGATCAAATATAAATGGTGGGATAGTTTACAAGCACATGGAGGTGTTTTGTGTCTTGTGTTTTAGGGGACCCCACAAGCATGTGTGTTTCTCTCAATGTCCCTTCAAACCTACGTGTGAGCAAGCTCTCCGGGGTTCCGAGATTCAAGCAGAGATAGGGGAGAGAACCGCGCCAGTCGAATCCGGCCCAAAATGAAGGGCCCTCCCCATTACTTGCTGGGGCTCAGTAGGGAATGCCCAACCCAGGGAATCCCTTAAAGGAAACCATAGAGTCGATGGTTTTTTTCGGGGCTCCCTCATTCCCTGAGAACCAGGATTCGCAACTTCCGGAGGGGGAGAACATTTTTGTTCGGGCCCAGGAAGCTGGTTCTGGGGTCGGAAGGCATCGTCACGCCGAGAATTTCGTGTTGCTAGAAGAGCGGTAGCTTAGTATTCTCACTCCCTGAGTTCATGGGCTTTAAACTTTTTGGGGCCATTTTAGTGGTCAGAAAGTTTGAACTTTTTGGGGCCATCAACTCAGGAAGTGAGTAGTGGATGATAATTGGTGCATTCCAAATTAAGTATTGATGAAGTCTTGGGGACTTCGCAATTTCCCGCAAGCACGGTGTATCTGAAACAGGGATCATCTGCTGTGCCTGGCTTGCATCAAGCCCCTCCTTCACAAGAAAACCGCCAAGCTTCAATTTACTTAAGAATATTGTTGATTGTCCCTGGTTCGTTTTAAAAGGAATTTATCTATACTGTGTTTTTGTTATTTTCGCGAGAAGTCTTAACCAAATGGAAGCAAGTTAGTTCGGTTCGAAGCGCAGGTGTGCAACTGCCCAAGCCGGGCCACCGCGATCGATGTTGGTCGCCAGTTTGAGCCTAGGGTTGCCCAACGCGAATCGACCTTTTCACCTTCTCGTTTTCCCGTTGTGGTCCCATGTTTAGTCATGGCCCCCAAAGGTTAACCTTTTATTTCGAGGTCCTTCGGGAAACTGAGAGGAGTGTTCAATCATAAACAAAGTGACAATTGTTTAACACATACATCTGCTTTTCCATATCCTCCCATGACTCGCAATAGAAAACCCCCCTGTCCGGAGCCCCCCCTCCCCGAAAAAGAAAGAAGGATCTTACATGTGAAAGTTCAGTAACATCAGGCTTCGGGCCGTTTTTCGTCTTCTGGCGTCTGTATTTTGTGACGGTATGCGTGTTCGGTGGGTTTTGAAGTCAAAAAGGTTCACCACCCATTTTGCTTGGTGGCTCCCAGCCATCCGGTTCCTTGGCCTTTTAGCCTTTTAGTGTTGAGTGGTAGTTTCCGAATTTCGCCCAAAGTTCTTCGCTTTTAGCGGGGGATCCGAACACGGGCAGCCCAGTTTGGGAGTCCGCAAAAAGCGAGGCCCAGCCATGTGGCTGTGGGTCAAAAATAGGTGCCCAAAAAAGCGAAGCCTTGTAAGAGGAGGCATGGACTAAAAGCCGCGGTCCAATTCCTGGTTGAAAACTTGACCCGCAGCCACATGGTCATTTCCTTCACACGGTCCGCTGGTTTTGCTTGTGCCGTATTGAGGCCTCGGGGGACGTCCACGCGCTCCGGACCTGCCTGGACCTCAAGGCGGATCCCAACGCCGAGGATGCGGCGCGGCGGAATTTTATGTATATATTGTATAGATTAGATATGCATGTAGATGTGTATGACTATTGTGGGTGTGTTTGTTTTCTCTTTTTTTTTCCTGGTGTCTTTTTGAAGAGCCCCCCTTGCAGGCGGTCAAGGAGTACCAAACGGGGAGCACCAAAGGGTTGGGCACGGATGGGGGGGGAGTCAAAGCACAAACAACAAGTTTGGGTGCGTCCTAAAAAGAGGGCCTTCCAAACAGAAACAAACCACGTGTGGTTTCACTGGGTTTCAGGTAAACAACATTGGAATCATCCAAAAAGGGCTCTCGTCCTATTACAACTCTAGGACATCCTGCCTGCAACTGCTCCACCTTCGAGTTGTTGGCCCTGACATGATCATCAATCGGTCTACCTGTTCTTCTCCGTAGGAATGACACGTTGCCAAAGGCCAAGATGGGGTCGAAAAGGGATCGCTAAGAGACAAATTCGGATCTGAAAACCTCGGAAAAGCTCTGGAGTATGCCAAGATATGCAGGATTATGCTTCACAGAATCCCTGGAACGATACAATTCCCCTGTAAATACCACCAAACTATGGTTTCCCATGGTTTCAAAGTGGTACGACATGAATTTCGTTCATCCGCAGTAGTTAGTCAATTTGAATATCGTGTTGCAAAGAACCAAGCAAGTTAACTTGCAGCGCTTACCTGGACACCTGGCGTTCTTCATTGTGAATTACAAAGCTACATGCCAGGAAGCGAACGGTACCTGCCATCACCAAAAAATTCAAGAAACAGGCCAGAACTCTCTCCGGCTGGCTGTGCAAATCCGTATCTCAAAAGAGGCCAACCACAAATAACCGTTGATGTTCCATGTTGTGGGTTGTGTTTACAGTTCGAACCACGGGTAGCCTTTCAGCCCAAAACGGCGGTTGTCCTTCTGGCTTCCCTCTAAAACCCTCAAAAGGGATACCCTCAACATAGCTGCGGTTCCCCCCCAAAACGCCTAGTGGAGTGGAGGAACATGAAAAGCGTCCACTGAAAACCGCTCCTTCCATCAAGCATTGTTTTCCTACCGGACCTGCGGGTCAACTGCCAGACTGCAGGCATGCTTTCCTTGGCTACAGGCTCGCAATCAACTGGACATACCACATCAACCTTAAGATTTGCCCAGTGTTTGCAGGGCCCAGCCACCCCCAACTCCGAATGAGCAAACCAAACAAACAAAACCTGCAATCCCAGCACTCGCTTTTCAGCATGCGGCAAGCCCCCCATGATGAGGCGAGCATGGCACTCTTAGCCTTCGAACGAGTCAACTCTCACTGCGCTCGAAGTATCGCGCATCCGCGGGACCCCCTTCTGGGTTAATTACGCAGTATGCTGCCTACCTCTTGCATGCCAGACAGGTTTAGCGGCTTCTTGCGTACCACAATGAAAAAGGCACAACATCATTTTGGGGCAGGAACCGCCCTTGTTTTGGTGGGCTTACTGCCTGAACCGGCAAGCTTGTTGAACTTCTCACCGCGCCCTTGCTTTTGGTTCCTATGTGTTTGCTTTGTAGCACAATTTTGAAACTTGCTGGTTGGAAGGGCGACGCACCAGAAAAGGCCTTCCAACAGGCGATCAATCCCAACAGGGCCTACTACGGGGATTCCATGGGTCTTTGAGACAGCGCAAACCTTCGGGGTTCCATTCATACATGCACCCGCAAAATGGGAAAACTACAACGCAAAATTGTTCCCATTTCCGAAGTAATGTTGACCCCATATGAATCAACCCCAGTTGATTTATAGGGGGTGTCCCTGTCGAAAAGTGATAAATCCCCACTAGAACCAGGGACACCCTCATATTAATAAACTGGGGTTCATTAATTTGGGGTCAACATTGAACGGGGCTATCTATTTTCAAGCACGTCAACCAAAAAGGACACCTATGCTTGATCCCTTACTTGGGTGTTCGGCCAAGTCGGTAAGTTGGTGAAAACCTAGGTTATAACCCACTGGTGGGGTTAACCCAGTCATGAGTGGGTTATGCCCCAGGTGGTTAACCACTTTTGAGCTCTGGCCTCATTATTTTACCATGGTCAAAGTCACCCCCTAAGTGATGGGTTTAAGGGAAACAACCCTTTTGCTGACTTTGATAACTCCCAAACAACCGTCAAAATAATGACCCGTGTAACTTGGGGAATCAAACCTCCAAGTAAGGAATGAGGGAATGAACCTGGAAATCCCCTTAAAGGACACCACCAGTTGGATGGCTTATTGGGCATTTCAATTCTCATTCCATGCTGAGCATCACCTGTGCTTGTTCCAACACTCCGAGTCTTTGGGAAGAAAGAATGGGCTGAGCCATAGGTTGCCTTTTGGAGACAAATAGATGGCCCTGGTAAAAGGAATAGACCCCATCTAAACCAGCACCCTCTATTTTTTAAGCAACCCAACCAAAATGGATATCAGGCCCTCCAGTACTTGGTGGCTCCGCGTTTTAGCGTTTAGTGGTAGTTTCCATTTAACCCACCAAAAGTTAAACTTTTAGCGAGGGATCTGAGGGCAGCCCAGAGTAGAGAGGTAGAGGGGCGGGCAACTCGCAACCCGCAGCACCCGAGCTTCCAGGGGTTGATTCCTTGTCCATTCTGTTCAACCATTGTTCTTTTTAAAAACTGGCTCTGTTTGCCCTGGGTTTTTGATGATTTCCTGAAAAACGATTCGGATCCCTGGGTTCAGAATGGAAATGGAAGGTTCCCCTAGAATTCAAGGAGACTCGGCTTCATGCTCAAAACCAAGCTTCAAGCATGCTTTGCGAACAAAAAGAAGAGAAACAAGAAAGAATCTGACTGTCTGCCTTGATAAGACAACCGCTGGTTTTTGTCTCAAGATCCAACTTGTGGTGCGGCTTCCTTGCCCTGGGGTTCCTCTAGAAAGCTGGTGTTCTCAGGTCATGCGCGAGCGGCCCCTGCACTATGCCGCGCTGGTGGGGTGCGCGCCGGCGGTCCAGGCGCGCCCGAAGGGTTCGAATTCGTTCGCTGGCAGAGCGGCGGGCGGTTTCGGTCAGCAGACATTTAGAGCACCCAGGATTTGATATTGGAAACTAAAGGGTTTTCTTTAAACAAAAACAAAACCCTTTCATCTTTTCCCTCGAACAAGAAACATATTTCTTTGGTGGGGCGGAAAGACGTTCTTTTGGTTGTTGTTTGTTGTGTGGGTGTTGGTGCTTGTTGTGCTTGTGCAGGGGAGCAGAAAGCACCAGGATTTGAGATTGGAAACTAAAGGGTTTTCACAGAAAGAAAATCCCTTTCATCTGTTCCCTGTAAAAGTGATGCTATGTTGGGTTTCGTGGGGGTGTTTCAGGCAGACAAATCATTGCTTTGGTGCATTATGCCAAGGAATGTTAGGGTTAAACTTTTAGCAGGGGAGCAGAAAGCAACAGGATTTGATGCTGGAAACTAAAGGGTTTTCTTTAAAACAAACCTTTCCATCTTCTCTGTTGGTTTATGTCCACAACGTTCAACATCAAACCTTAGAGGTGGCGGTCCAGTTGGCGTTGGAACCTAAACCCAATAGGCAGATTGGCATTAGGCAGAGTCATATCCATAAATGGCTATGGGTCAAAAACAGGGTAACCCCAAAATGGCTTGCCCTGGTAAATGAAAACATGGACGATTCAACCTGCGGTACAATTGCTGGTGGTTTAATTTTGACCCACGCCCAAATGGACAAATACCCCAAAGATCGGTGCCCAGCCTCTGCTGCCGGACGCCGCTTGCAGGTCTTGTTGCGTGCCAACGCGGATCCCACGGTGCGGTCCGCCTTCATGGAAGCTGGGCTCGGCTTGAGACACTCCGGTTTTGCAATTCTTCTCAAGGACAGGATTCGCAGAAACCACTGGCTCGTCTAACAACCGATCTTCCAAAGTTTGGCTTCCTAACAGGCAATTGTTCTCACCCAAATTGGAAGGACTGGCTTGTCTTTCAAATTCGGGAATCGATTTGAAGTCTAACTCAACTCGAATGCCAAACAGGAATGAAAGAAAGATGCTAGGATAATTGCAGCTACTCTGGCGTGAATGAGCAGCAGCAATTAGCAGCATGTTACGTGACTACCACAGTCCCGGGGCGTCCTGCAGACATTTTCACTTGAAGCCCTCTTGGGTCTGATGGAGGCTGCCATGCCTGTCTATCAGGGCCAGCAGAATTAGCAGGAGGTTGCGGACTTTGAAACCAAAGTACTTCTGCGTCTGATTATCCAGGCCCTTACATTACTTCACCTTACCTGTTTTGGGTCAGTGTTTTAGCGCGGGATATCACGTGCCCTGCTTAAGTTGAGCCCTTCTCAAAAGCCATGCTCAAATCAGGGTACCCCACCTCCCACTTCCATACACCTGTGCGAGGGTACCTGGAAGATCAATGTCGTCAGGCGCCACGTTCGTGGAAGAGAGGGTACGCCCGGGCTCCAAACCACCAATTGGAGGGAATCTGATCAAAGCTCGTCTAGTTCCCATTAGGAGGGCGACTTTCCTGGTACTCCCCCATGGCGACCCTTCTCCAGCGGTAAGCCCTCTAGAAAAGACTCAGGTGATGTCCCCAACAGAGTGCAGCGCTCTTTTTTGACCCACGCGGAACCCTGCGACACCTCTCAGAACCCTTCAGAACCTTGCGGGGAAAGAGGTAGGCTCCCCCCGCAGCCTTCGACCAAAAGTTGCTTCAAGCCGAGGAAACGCCGCTGGACGTCGCACGGGAAAACGCCGCCGCCTTCCTGGGAGTGAAGACCGCGTCTTGGCGGAAGACCCGTGCTTTGGTCTTTACCGGGGCGAACGTG